GAGTTGATTGCTATGTTTCGAGTATTCTGTATAGCCTTCGGCCTCAGGCAGTTCCTTCGACTCCTCCATGTTGAAGCAGCTATGAAAGCTCACGAAATTTTGTCATTTTCTGAAATCTCTTCTTTTCTGGGTGTCTGAAGCTCTCAGAACATTTCAGGTCTATCGTGCTCCAGTAATGAATTACGGTGCCCCCTCATTTCCACAGATGCCATCAGTGGTCTATCCTCCACCACTTCAATACGCATCACAACAACCAGTACTACCAATTATTCGTCCACTACCACCTCCACCGCCGCTGCTTCGACCTCCTCCACCGCCTCCACCGCATCAACCTATTACCTATGTGGCTCAGCCAAGTATAATTCAAGCCCATGGAGAGTACGTTGGACCTGCACTACCTCCTCAATCGCCTCCGCCACCAGTCTACATCACTCCTGCTCCAGTCTATGTCACAACGCCATCACCGCCAATATGCTGGATGGACGAAGAAGGTACTTTCTTGTTTTTTTTTCGATCAAATGATTTTTCATTGGGTGACGGTGACAACAACCCCACAACCCCGATCACATTCGATTCCCTTCTAATATAAGGGCTAGGGAGAAGAGAACGCTGATTCTTTTCGTGCTGATTGGCATCTCTCATATCAGTCACTATTTTAACGATGAATGTCGATATGATGATGAAGAAGAACCGATGACTCCCCAGTCCACGGTTCAGTTCTGCCACACGATGTAATTTCGCAGTCAAAGCTATCGAAAACTTGGGTCTACATGTTTAGGATTTGAGTGCTGTTCAATACCTCTCCAAACGCTTATGAGAGATTTCCTGAACAGCCAGCAAGCTCCTCGAGGTTGTAATATGCAGAAAGTCGCAAACCAGCTGCAGGTACGCCATAATCTTCGTCAATCACTTCTCGATACGTTTATTGCGGTCTCACCTCTCTGCAAGGCGACGTTTTTGCACTTATTGGTTAGTGATTTTCTAGTATCATGTTTCAGATGATGGCTCAAAATCATTTCAACTTCTCATTCGAATCGACGGTTGCTCAATCGCAAATGGCGAGTAAATTCCAATTCAGGGCAAGGTTGATGTGCAAAGTTCGATCGAATGATGGGAAGGTGAGCATCATTCAGTTCTTTGGAAACACTTTGCATTGACAACAGTTTTGAGAACGATCTTTCAGATTGCCCTGTTGTTCGCTACTCCAAATCAATATTCTTTGGAACCGTCTGAGTACCATCCATTGACTCCACTCGAAGAAGAGGGAAAGGGTTGGACTGAGACTGAAAAAGAAATTTGGAGTAGTGACGATCCACGACTATTTACAGCAGGTCTGGGCTCGAAATCGTGAAAGGTAGAGAAGTGACAGGGCTGAACTTTCTTCCATATAGCAGTTTTCTGACAGTCCAGAGTGCGCATGTAGGCTTCGATGGCCCTTTTCTTTACGAGAGTTTCGATGCTCTGGCGATTTCCTTCGCTGCAGCGGTATCCTGAGCCTGAGCTTCCTCTTGTATCTGAACACTACTAATCCATTGTATCTCAGTCCTTATCTGTATTATCCAAAGTTGTGTGTGTTCAGATCTATATTTGATTTGTTGTGGGTATACCATGTAAATAAAACTATCCGCATAATAATTGTTTTTTTACTCGAGGTTTTCTATGCCACTTGAAATGAAATCGCACTTCCATATAGCAGTGTGTTTGTGCTGCCGACAAGTAGTCGCATTACCCACCATGTAATGTCAAACATGTTCTCTGAACATGCTCGACAATGAATGCATACGAGAAAACAATACGAAAACAATGCGAAAATACGGCAACTCGAAACATTTATTTATTTATTTATTATTTATTTATTTATTCAATCGATCACTCATTTATTCATTCATCCATTCACCTATTCATTCTTTTCCTTTTTCTTTCTTTCCTTCCTTCTTTCTTTCTTTCTTTCTTTCTTTCTTTCTTTCTTTTTCTTTTTTTCTTTCTTTCTTTCTCTTCACTACTGCCTATATGTTCTCATAAGCTTCCCTAGCCTAGTTCCCACTGCACAGCTGCGGAGTTGATCGTTCATCGTGTTAATTTCTCGACCAATATATACGTAGCAAGAGCATTCGGAGTTATTCGCTCCGTTTAACGTGAACCAGGTACCTATCCATTCTCCTTAACATCGCCTTCGTTGAGTTCATTCCCAAACCGATTATCCACAGACGCTGTTGATTTCGGTAGGCATTCGTTAAGCATGCTCTATAATCGGTGTTATAAGAGGGTTGCCTTTAATATGTTGCGATTGAGCAATTCTAGCGTTGCAATGTGGCAACTGACAGCTCCATCGTAATGCTTGACTCTTTTGAGGTTATACTTATTCAGAACGTTTTTACATATGAGCGCTCCTTGTGTTTTTTACACTAACTTAAACAATTTACTCAGGTCCTTGACGCCCCCATCCCTCACGTTGCGGAGGTCGTCCAAAATCGGTTGTTGTTCCGATGCTGTGCGCAAAATAATATTGCAAGATCGTCATATGACCTATCGTGAGATTTGGACGACCTTAGGCATTAAAGGGACCAGTACACATTCAATATTGCATGAACACTTGACTGTAAAAAAGTCTGATTTGTCAATCCTTCAGAAAAAAGGCTCGTGTCGATTGGGCGAAAGAAATGCTCAAAAATACGATCGCGGTGCTTCGAAACACGTCTATGACATCGAGACAGGTGATGGATCATGGGTTTACGCATATGAGCCCAAAACTATACAGCAATCGACCGTATGGATATTTCAGAATGAACCAAATCCAACAATATCTTCTTCTTATCCCGTACGTAAAAAATAAAATGAGAGGACAACGTTTTTCGACACCTGAAGAAGCCGTTAATGCGTTCAGAATGCATGTTCTAGAGTTACTTCAATCAGAGTGGTAAAAGTGCTTCAAAAATTGGTTCGAGCGCATGCAAAAGTGTATAGAACTTAATGAAGAAAATTATTAAAGGCAGTAAAGCGATTTTCAATGATCAACAATTACTTTTGTTTTCTAATCCCGAAATATAAAGGCAACCCACGTTTGTATTAACCGCAGTAGTGTTCCCACAATAATTAGGTCTGATTGCGGTACAAACTTTGTCCTGGGCAAAGGTGATGACCATCTCTCCCAGAACAAAACAGAAACAGGACATTCAGTCATGTTCGCTCGGCGACAACGAACATCAAATGGATATCTAGTCCAACCGCTTCTCCCTGGACGGGAGGAGTGTGGGAAAGACTTGTAGTAACTTTGAAAAATTGCGTTTCCAAGACCATTTGCCGTAAAAAACTTTCGTACAGAAAAATTGACAACTATGTTAGCATGCATAGAGGCCCTCGTTAAAACACGCCCATTCACAAAGGTGGGTCCTGAAGGCATCACATCACTACCACTCCATTCTACAGTTTTCCTACAAGGAATCCCGGAAATCGCCATCTCCGATAACTCCAACTCAGACAAGCGCAAAGGTACTCCTTACGGGAAATCAACCATTAACACTATGGTGCAAGCAAAAGAAGCTCTCAAGTTAGCATGAAAGGCCGATAACTCCTTTTGGAGCAAGTGCACAGAGAAAACTTGGCAGAGCTACTCGACACATATAATTCATCTCCGAAACAAACCAGGCATAACTCTCGTTCAAAGCCCGAAATTCGCTAGGGACAGGTTCGTCTGGCGTGCTGACACTGCCAGACGAACCTGTCCCTCGCAGCAGTTGCCTCTCGGACGTATCGCTGAGCTCATACAAAGTTCCGAAGGGCTAGTAAAGCCAGCTAAAGTTAGCCTTCTGGAATGATAACTCACCCTATAACGAAACTCGTCCCTCTTGAGATCCGAAACAGCTTCAACGGGGAAAACATGACAAAATATGACAAACATGACATGACATGACATGACACGACACAACATGAAGTACTATAGCAACGAAACCCAGGCAATGCAAAACATTCAGAGCACCGTTGCCCAGAAAGGGAAAAGAGGACGAAAAGTACTATGAGTCTACTCAGGGCTGTGTCCAAATAACATACATACACTGACACGATGCCTTCCCTATCTTCTTCTTCTATGATTCAGTCCCAGGCCATGCACATCTTATGTCCTGCAAAAATGGGATTGCGAAAATAACGCCCGCAACGACATAAAGCACCCTGTGCTTTAATCAAGTACGTCGACCCCAAGCACAAACAGTTCCACCTTATTCATGTTGCCTTTTTCGGTTCATAACAGTAACGTAAATGTAACGAGCCATTCCAACAACGATATAACATCACTCAGTTATACTGGAAGTTGCAAAATACGCTCATTCTGCGAACAAAACATCTTTCACATGGGACTTGCTGGGCAATCCCCACTGCTGGCCTATAGGTGCAATATTGTCAGTAGTGCCACCATTCACCGCACTTAACCATTATCATGATTGCGAAATCTGTCTTTAAATGGCTTCTCAAATGTCCGAATAGCATACGAGCTACCGCTCCTGAAATTACGATCAGTAGAGATCGCCACTGAAGAAGCCTCTTTCTACACACTTGGTATGTTCTCTTTTTTCGACGGAAACAGCCCTAGTCTTTTGTGCTACAGTGCTTCTCGTACTTCATGACCGACGACCCGCATGACATCTGCGCAGGTGGCGCCTTCTACAGCGCGAACGGAAACAGCAACACTCCTGTACCGGGGCTCNCAGCCACGCGCCATCTCGACCCTTCCAGGCGACGTCTCAACTCACTCTTGCTGTGCTACCCTCTACAATGTAAGCTATTCAGAGTAGACTGGCTCCCATCGAGACCAAGATCGATTCTTTGCTCGTCCTCCCTCCTGGACTTCCACGCTTATTCTACGGTATTGAAAAACACCGTTCTTCTTCCTTCCCCCTATTTCCTGACGTTGTGGCTCGCTCTCTTCGTCTCAGAGATTTAGACAAATGCACGTCCTGTTTGGCACCAGCACATGGCATATGTCCGAAGAAATGCCGCAATTTCGGCGGACCGCATCATTCAATTCCCTGCAGCTAATTTTGATTCACCGCTTGTTTGGTTTTCTCATGTCTTGCAGTTTATTTTGCCTGATTACCCATTTACTTTACAATTCGATTGATTTTGTGAATCACAATATGATATAGTGCCATGTATTCACTCACTTAATCACATGGAGAAATCCATGTGAACGCAAAATTACAGTTCACACCACATATGCACAAACTTACTTGCGCTCTTGCAAAACATACATAGCTCGGCGATGAAAACCCCTGTCATCGTATGTATCCTCATTATGTTTATTGTCGTAACGCTACAGTCCTCAGCATGCCGAGCCTCAACATACACACCGTCAGGGGAGGAGCCGTGCTTCGATTTGTTAGTCCGCGAGTGAGTTAACGAAAGTAAATATCAAGTGAATATTACTATGCGTAGCTAATTTGATTCGTCTCACTTATAAACTCAAATCCATCTTTAGTTGCCATTTTTCCTATGTCTATTTCATATCATATCACTTCGCATTATTTGAAAATTTTCGCGGCCGGAGAATGTTGTGGCATACTCCGCAGTCGCTACGTTTTTCATAGTTCAATGTATGTTGAAGACATGCGAAGGCCCCGCCTCCTGGCCTTTGCTTCTCGAGCGAGGATACAGTACGGTCGTTTTTTGCCTATGTTAGTCGTCAGCCGTTCTTTGCCTATGTTTGTCGTTAGTCGCGCAATAAAGGCTTGAGGAATAAACTTGCGTCGTCGTCACCTGTCTTCTAATGTCTAGCTTGGCTCTTCAAACCTTTTGGAATGCAAAATGTCTTTGTCGTGAAAAACTAGCAACTGTGTTGCTATACCAACGAGAAAACCCGGACGATATTGACAACTACCACCAAACCTGTCTGTTGTCTGTAATCTACGAGCTTTTCACGCACGTCTACCTCAACAGATTTGGCAGAGTTTTAGATGCGAGCAAACCGCGGTTTCGGAGAGGGTTTAGTATAATCGATTACATCCACTCCTTTACTGGACTCATTGAAGTAGGTCAGTGGTGAAATAGTAGGTGTTCATACTCAGTGCACAGAGATGTCTCGTGACTCCTACCATAACCTCCCGACCACGATTCGCCATTCTATAGGAAGTCATGGTCAATTTGGAAAGAGGCCTTCGGCAGAGCTATATCATCTCGTCCAAAATTTTCAATGCGCTCTAGAGTAATCATGCGTCATTTGGCATGGGACAGGCCGACGGTCGCAATTTGCATCAGCTCCGCTTTCCAGACGACATCGTGCAGATAGTATCATTGATCTTCGCGTCAATTTCATTCCATTTATCAACACAGTGTTGTGGTAGGATGCTGTCCAATGATCCT